CCTGCGCGCCGTCTCTGCTACGCGCGTAATACAAACTACCCCAACACTCCCCTCACTTAATGAAATATCCTACTACTTCATTCTCTTGGGCATAACGCAATCTTTGAGACGCTCAGGTATCCTACCTACTCGTTGAGGTCTCTTGAGAGTGAGGTTTTCTGGAATCTGTAACAACGGAGGTTTCAACGGAGGTGTATGTACAGGTGTACTGGCCTGGAAGGAACTTGTAGGAGTTGAATACAATGTATTGTTGCCATCCTGAGACAACGGTGAATACGGCGGTGCTGGTGGAGTTGTAACGGAACTCTCACTCGCATTCCTAACTGTAATATCTGAACTAGTCGGACTATTCCTTAACGTAGAACTATTGCTCTCGCTTGAGCTATCACGCACATTTGTATCATTTGAATTTCCGCGTACGTTATCCCTGGAACTTCCGCGTTCCTCACAATCACTTGTGTTTCCGCGTACAATTTCTGGTGGAGCGTAATCTAATGTAATATAGTCTTCTAGACTGCTAGGCGTATATTCACCTATTTTCCTTAATTGATTAACGTGACGTTTCCACTCGCGTCCGTCATCTAAACGTATCTTATAATGTAATGTACCTAAACGCTCGCAAATTCTACCAAATAACCACTTGTCTGTACCACTGTAATTCCTGGCACTCACTCTTTCTCCCTCCGTAAAATTAATTGGTGTATTCTGCGCTTGGAATTTACTTTCAAATGGACGTAACAAATCTAATCGTGTTCTGATTTTTCTCGCAAATAACATTTCTGCAGGTGTTTTGCCCGTACCCGCATGTGGTGTATTTCTGTACTGTAATAATAATTTCTGTAAATCTACGTGTACATTTGTATGATTACTCTGCATACGCTTTAATGCATTCTTTAACGTCTGAACATAACGTTCCGCTTGACCGTTAGTTGCTGGATGAAATGGTGCTGTACGTTTATGTATAATTCCATTAACCTTTAAGAAATTCGTAAATTCATTAGACGTAAAACTTCTACCATTATCCGTGACAAAATATCTTGGTAAACCGTAAGTACAAAAATATTGTCTGCAAATATTTATTGTAGTTTGCGACGTAATGTTTTTCACAATATGTATTTCCGGCCACTTAGTATGAGCATCGACTAAAATTAAAAAATTGTGACCTAGGAATGGACCTGCGAAATCCGCATGTACTCTCTCAAATGGAGATTCGGTTGGTTCCCAAATATGACTTATCTTTGGTGGATTATTCTTAAACCTATTACAATTTCCGCAATTCTTAGAAATCTCTTCGATATCCTTATCGATTTTATTCCACCACACGTAACCTCGTGCTAAATGTTTCATTCGCACTATACCGAAATGACCTTCGTGTAATTCTCTAAGTATTTGCTTTCGTAACTGAAATGGAACCACCACTCTATGGTTTCTAAATATAACTCCGTGTAACAATGTAAATTCTTCTAACGGAACTGTATCGTATTTATTATTCTTAAAATAACCTTTACCTGACTCAAGAAAATTAAGAAGTTTAGATAACTCTCTATCTTGCAATGTACATTTCGCTACCTGTTCTGCTGTAATTGGTAGTGTCTCGAAAGTAACTTTCTGAAAGTCGTCTATTATATCACATTCAAATTCTTGCTCTGGTGAACTTGAACCTCGCGGAATTGGTAATCTCGATAAACAATCCGCATTTGCATGTTGTTCTGACCTTCTGTACTTAATATCATAATTAAACCCTTGCAAAAATAATGCATAGTGTTGCATACGCGAAGCTGTGTAAAATGGTAAACCTTTCGTAGGAGAAAATATCTGTGTCAACGGTTTATGATCCGTAATCAATGTAAATTTCGCGCCTTGTAAATACTGGTGAAATTTCTTCACACCGTAAATAATTGCATACGCTTCCTTATCTATCTGCGAATAGGACTGCTGCGTTTTCGATAATGTCTGTGACGCGTATTGAATTGCTTTCTCTGAACCATCAGGAAAAATATGTGACAAAACTGCACCGACTCCGTAAGCGCTAGCGTCTGTAGCTAAAGTAATCGGTAATCTCGGATCAAAATGAACTAAACATTTCGGACTTGCAAAAGCTTTTTTCGCGGCTTGAAAACTCTTTTCGCACTCTGTAGACCAATAAAATTTAACGTTTTTCTGTAATAACCTATTCAGAGGTTGAAGTATCGAACTTAAATTTGGAATGAACCTGTCGTAATAATGTATCATCCCGAGAAAACTTCGTAGCTCAGAAACATTTGACGGTTGTCGCATTTTTGAAATTGCCTCTACTTTATCTGAAGCTTTACTTAACCCGTCTTTATTTATAACATAACCACAATAATGTATTTCATTCATTAAGAATTCACTTTTTGCAAAATTTATTCGTATATTGTACTTATGTAATCGTTCGAAAACTAATCGTAGTGTACGTAAATGTTCTCTCAAGTTTCTACTTGAAATACGTATGTCGTCCAAGAATGTGACTACACCTCGGATACCCTTTAGAATATATTCTATAGTACGTTGCCAAATAGCTGGTGCTGACGCAATACCAAACATAAGGCGTGTAGGACGGTACAATCCTTTATGCGTATTTAATGTAAGCAAATCTCTGTCCTCCGGTCGGACTTCTAACTGTAAATATGCCTGAGTCAAATCTATTTTCGAAAAGATTCTACCTCCCGCCATCTGAGTAAACAATTCATCCGGCGTTGGCAAAGGGTGAATATCAACATTCAAATTTGGATTAAGTGTTACGCTGTAATCCCCGCAAATTCTAACTTCGTCGTTCTTCTTAAGAACTGGCACGATTGGTGTCGCCCAATCTGAATAATCAACTTTTTCAAGTATCCCTACTTGTACCAACTTGTCTAATTCTTTTTCGACTTTTTCGCGTAATCGAA